CCTCCCCTGCCCCCAAGCCTCCACTGCCACCCAGACCCTGCTTCTGACCCTTGGAGGGTCACTGGGCTCTGAGATTACAGGGAAGCAGTTGTTAGAACAGCAGTTGGAAAGGGAAGGGATTTTCTCCTCCTGAAAGTCCTGGAAAAAAAAAAAAAAAAGACAGGCTTCGGACCTTCTCTGTGAGGCTCCTCTTTCATGGTTTTCCATACACAGGCTCCTCCATACCAGGAAATACTTCTTGTGCAAGTGACCCTTTCTAGGTACCAAATGACCATAGTGGAGAAAAGGTAAGTATCAACATGAAAGAGTTCCCTGATTTCTTCCTTCCCGAAAAGCAATCTGGAAAAAAGGTTGGACGTTTACAAACAATCTACTTATTCTACAAATGAGAACAGATTCAGAACTTTCTAATAACCTACTTCTCAAGTACTTGCATTACAATTTCCATGATAAGATAGTAGCTAAGGGTTAAGTATTTGGAATCAAGACAGGTAGAGGTTCTTCTTGATCTCTACTCAACAGCAATGGGAACTTGGGAGAAACGTCGACCTTTCTAGATCTCAGATTCCTCAGGTGTAAAATGGAGGGGAATTAGTTTGAGTGTCCCCTAAAACAGAGCCTGGATCTAGATGTAGGGGGTGAACATAATTTAATGGTGGTCAGGGTAAGCTCAGAAAAGAGAAATGTAGGAAGAAAAAAAAATGAGGTAAGATGGAAAAAGTAGGGTGTGTTCCTGGGCTGGGTACTATTCTGGACAATTGAGGCTCCTTCCTGCTGGTGACCCTCTGAGAAACCATATGAAATCTATCCCAGAATTATCCTCTGAAGGGTGGGTGCCTGAGACATTAATATCATCCCTCATAGGTTGAAGATTGCCCTGGTGGGGAGTGAACTTCCCCCGAGGAAAAATGAATCTCCACAGCAACTGTGGCTGAAATCAAAGTGGGTCACCAGATGTGACATGAGGCACCTAAGATATCTACTATAGGAGATAGATGATATTCATGTCATAGAGTCACTGTGAGCATGAAACACAATGGTGTCTTAACATATTGAGCATTGTGCCTAACACATGGCCAAGTGCTTAACAAGCATTCACTTGATTGTTGCCACTGCTGTTCTGGCGGTTATCATCATGACCATGATCATTGCCTTTTCTTGAATGAGAGACATGGGGGTAACTTCATGGCTTGGAGACTCTGGGAATGATACATAACTCACAACCTATCTCTTCTGTACCAAGCCTGTATGATTTACTGTGACATATGGCCAATTGTTGTGATTATCACAGTACTTTTATTTTCTCCGTGTGTGTGTGTGTGTGTGTGTGTGTGTTGCCAAAATTTGGGCACAAAGAAAGACAAGGCACATTCTGTCAGTTGTATGGGGTAGAAAAAAGGCTGCCAACCATTGCTCTGGAGCAACGCTAATAGTACTTCCTGCAACAGTGGAAATGTTCTAGATCTCTGCTATCCCAAACAGTAGCTACTAGCTGCGCATGGCTCTTGGACACTTAAAATATGGCTAGTGTGACTGAGTCACTGAATTTTTAATTATATTCAATTCTAGTTCATTTATGTCTCAGTTTAGCCACACATAGACACAGTGGAGAGCGCTTGAAGAGAGTGTTCCCAGGCATAGTGGAAATGACCCCACCACTGGGGCTAGAATTAAGGCAGTACGGCCAGTGGTGCCATTCATCTGGCCCTTGGGCCCCCCAGTGCCCACGAGACCTCACTTCTGGCCTGGAGAGTGGTGGTATCATGGGGGCCAAAGGGCTGCTGACTGAAGAGAATGAAGTTCCAGGAACACTGGCTGGCTCTGGTCGGGAGAAGAGAGGCCGTAAGCCTAGTGCAGTGTGGTTCACTGTTGCGAGCACAGAGCCAATTGCTGACCATCACGGGGCAGGGAGCTGAATTCTTAGTTGTCTCTGGCAAGCTCTCAAGACCAGCTTTTACAGTTGTGCCTCTGTGTGGCTCCATTTCTCTCTGCAGGCATGTGGGCTGTGCTGAATCCATTAACAATCATTGCTGAGTACTTACTATGTTCTCAAGTGTTGTGCTAGACCAAGGCCTGTTCACCCGGTGTTTTCTACTCCCAAGGAAATTATAGGTTACCCAGAAAGACAAGATATTCATATAATAAGCCAAGGGTTTCGGCATCACTTCCTCTTTCCTCATCCCTACAGTGTTTTGTACTTTACAACTTCTCATTCAGATTGGTAACTGACTATTTCCTGGTCTCCTTCTTCCACTAAACCACAAAGTCCATCATGGCAGAGAGGTAGTGTCTATCCCAGTACAATGCCTCAAATGCAGTGAAATGCTAAATTATTTGAGACTGATGACAAGAGCAATAGGAGTTGAGAGGAAAGAGATAAGTATTCCTGAAGTCATTCACTGTCAATATGGAATTCAGACTAGGTTTGAAAAACGAGCAAGATATATTTGTTTGAGGAGTAATGGATTCCAGGGCAGTAATATCCTAAACAAAGACATGGAGGTAGGATTGAAAATATTACATTTATGGGAGACAGGATCAACCACAAGAAAGTTTAGGAAACAAGGTGGAATTAGTAGGGTGGGGCTTGACTCCGCAGGCGCCAGAGTGTGGCTCTACTGGGTTGGTAAGAGCACCACAAGGCAGTGCACCCTGGGTGTCTGAATATGCTGAAACTGGAGGATGCCTCTGTGAGTCTGGCAAGATGGGATTGGCATCAGTTGTTTTTGCCTTTAACCTTCAATCTCTCTTCCTTGAGTGGCAGTACTTCAATTTCCTTAGATTCGCTGTTCTGTCCCTGGGGTACAGTGACCCCACCTCCATGCCCAGGTTCAGGGATGGCTGGGATCTCAAACCAGATCCAGCCGAGGAGAGTCTCAGGAAGTGTTGCAGGGATACAGCCGGGGACTTGTGCTGGAGCTGTTATTATCTTTCTTCTGTGATTACTAAACTGGTGAGAGGAAGTCTGCAAGGGCTGATACTATACTGATGCTGCTGGGGAGAGTCTGTCTGAGTCTTAAACCAGTGTAGGGGAAAGCAGGACCAAAGAACATGAAAGACATCTGATGACATCATCTCAGCATCTGGATCCAGCTGAGCCTGAAGTGGGACTTATTTCTGAGCTCTTCAGTTCTTAGCCAGTTTCATTTAGGTTCCTGCCACTTGCAACCAAAGACATCCTGCTTAATGAATATCCAGGGTAAGCGGGATGGCTCAAAATGGGAGATGAGTTGGAGTGGCCACACCAGCAGACACGGCAGGGATTCAGATGTGTGGTACCGAGGGTCTGAACCGGCGGGGGGGCAGGGGGAGGAGAGGGCGGGATGTGAGGGCCAAGAGGACAGGAGGTATGTCAAGCAATGAGAAGGCACTATCTAGATTTTTCTTCCCTTCAAAAGTTGTGCAAGCAGTGTCTAATGATTCTTTATCACCTCTTCCTTCATGATGCCTCTGTACCTTCTCTTTCATTTGGTTTTGAAAACTTAGTGAAGAAAATGAAGCAGGTATTCTTGTCCCCATTTTATAGCGTTGGAGAAGTTCAAGGACTTGCCCGAGGTCATGTGGGAACTCTGGGGGCTGGTTTTGATTCTCTAGCGCACACTAGGTGGCCTCTTGCATGGGTCCTGTGTGAAGCCACCAGGCACACCGTCTTTCAGTCACCTTAGGACGAGGTGCATCCCCACCCCCAGGACATGGAGAAACAGTAGGAGTTCTTACCGAGGAAAGGCCCGGGAGCCCATGACCCTTTTCATTAAAAATAAATTCTGCCTGAGTCTCCTGGTTCTAAATAGAAGAAAATGTAGATTTGGGGCAGAACCGAAGGGAAAGGGATTTCCCTTGGCAAATTATTTGCAATTTGTGGATTGGAGCTGACCCAGCTCCAATTCCCACGTCATCGTGAGTACTGTCTAAAATGTGACCAGCTTATTAAAGAACCAGAGCTGGAGGCAATCCTTTCACATGGGCTCAAACAAAACAGGAGCAGAGTTAGAGCCCACCAGCTTCCTACTCACCGTGTCTCATGTGTAGGATCCATCTAGATTTTCACCCACAGGTTATAGGTCTACTCCTGGTCAGGCACTTCCCATGGCTGTGGGAATAAGAGTGAGCATACACACGGTTGGTCTGTGCCTTTCCTTAGGCGGTATGAAAAGCTACCCCTCATAAGTAAGCGGTCAGCGGTCCTCAGACTATCGCATGCAGTGGAGTGCATGTATTTAAGTGCCACCGCCAGAAATTCTGAGTTGGTTGGGGCCCCTTATCTGCCTTTTTAATAGGTGATTCTGAAGCAGATGGTCGAGGAACCATTGTCTGAGAAACAGTGCTGTTAAGTGTACAAGCGCACCAACTCCTAGTGGCCCCTTTATCAGGGGCTGTCACTGCTGTGATGCTGCTGTCACTGACACAAGCCCTGGGAGAGCCAGCACTTTCTTGACTAACAGAGTCTAGTCCTCACTGGCATAATTTGCGGGACATAAAGGTTTTGTTGACTAAGGATACCTCTGAGGAGCTGCTGAAACCAGAATTCTAAGCATTTCTTTCATCTTCTCCAGTACTCCTTTTCAATCATAAACTTATGGAGAACAGCATTCTCTGTGTTCTTTTAATTAATTAATTAATTAATTAATTAATTTTTGGTGAAGGAAAAATCCTAGTGTGGCACACTCACATCACGTTCGAGCATGATCAGAGCTCATCTGTCCTCATCGTCCAGTCTGCCAGAGCCCTGGGCTCTTCCGCCTCACCTTTCTCTGTCCTCAGGCGTGGGTCTCTGAGATGTGGAGCCCCAGGGAGAAAGGCTTTTAAAGTTTCCTGTGAGTCTTTCCTTCCTTAGGGCACCTCTATTAACAAAATTCTAAGGAAAATCAATGGGTTCCTATTTCCCCACCCATCCTGTTATGTGTCATCATCCTTCTCATGTTAACCATGAAATCAATGGGTGAGGTGCTGTCATAGGACCTTGCAATGAAATTGACTGCATATGAAATGAATTTGAAAATTCCATTTATTAAAACAAATACATTGTATGGGATGAAAATGTGCACATCACATTCAGCTTTTCCCGCTTTCACATTTCTGTATTTTCCTCTCTTTGAAAGACACACTCCGTAGATATTGTATAGGAAAAATGCGAACAATCCTTGGGTTGGGAAAACATTAATGATACGTAATAATTTACCATTGCCAGAAGCAGCTTGAAGCAAATATTAAAAAAAGATACAAAAATCTAAGACAACATGCTTAATTTCCCCAAATCCCATTTGTGAATAGGAGCATGTGGAGAAATGGTTTTTAATTTTTCCTTGGTAAGCAATCTCTTTCAAATATTATTATCAAAATTAGTCTCAGGTCATAGTACTATTTTGCAATTTCTAATTTAAATGAAATAATACTTGATTTGAAACTGAAAAAAAGGAAAAAAGAAATCAGAGTTAATATTGCAGATGTGCAAGATTTTTTTTTCCTAACATGAGGGTTATTGTTATAGTTAACTGCATGCCAGATTTTCATTACTATCCAATACATTATACACAGAAATTAGGGCCTTGAATAATTAAGTTAAAATTTCCTATTAGATAAAGTTATGCTGGTGGAAATGATTGTTGGATTTCTAACAGAATTAAAGCTCTTTAGAGGTATAAGTCATCAAAAGATTTCTTTCCCCCTTAACAAGTAAAAATACCAATAAGCAAAAACTCATATAGACACTCTGGAATTATAATACCATACTACAGGACATGAATATGAAAAAGCTGAAACATTTTCCTTAAACTTAAATTCAGAGGGGCTGTGTATTTTCTGCTTTTTCTCTTCTTTTGTAAACAAGGTCACATGCAGTTTGGAACTTCCTTAACTTTTAATTACCAGAGCCATATTATTATGGTGCTTCCTTCAAGTTTTAATTCCATTTTAATTGCTCCAAAGGTCTAGATTTACATAAAAATATAAAACATCCCTCTAAGGAAAATAAATGGTGTGGATTATGAAAATCCTTACAATGACACCTTAATCACCATCAAAAGGTGCTTTATTCAAGGTTTTTTTTTTTTTTTTTTTTTTTATGTGACCACATATTCAATTCATGTTTTGGCTAATTTTAAAAATGTGATACAGTTTTAGCTGATTCCACAGTATTACTAAGCTAATGGTTCAATACAGCATATAGTTTAATAAATACTCTGCCAAGGTCTTCCTACTAAATCTTCATTAGTGTCTCACCGACTATTACAACATCCCAAGGTTTGAACAGAAGTATCTGGTTATAGAAGTACATTCATACATTTTGCAAGCATCTCAGCATTCCTTTGTTCCCTGCCCTAGGTGTGAGCTTTAATTGGATGTATTTATTCTTTTACCATCATGCCCATAAAAGGAGTTAACGAAAATATTTACTAACCCCTTCAAAATCTGTCCTTGGCATATTAAGCCTTTATATCTTCTCTTTTTCTTCCTTTCCATTTTTTTTAAACAGAAGAGAATGAAAAAAAAATAGAATTGATTTGGAAATGGTCTTTTGCAATTTTTAGGTTAACAGTGAGATGTAAGAGCAGTCCTCTTTTGCCTAAAAATGGCACAGAAAAAAGTGACACAGGTTTCCAGGACCTTCCATTACTGAAGAAGTCTAGAGCTGTAATGAAAAATCACTTTCAATATTATCTCTTGGGGAGAGAGAGCTCTAGCTGCAAGCAAGTTGTAAATAAAGACTGAGAGACTCTAACAAACAAGATGGAGAACAAAACTAGAAATGGTTCTATTGAAAAATTTTGTGAGTGAAAAGCGAAGACCATCTCAGAGGCAAAAAGAGCCAGAACCCCTTCTGGTGTTGCTGGCTGTGGGGTGAAATGGGGTCGTATCTGCCCCTCTCCCTGGCAGGTGAACAGCCAGGATTCTGAGAATGGGTCTTCTCTGGAGCCATTGGTTTATTTCTCCAGGTACTTGAACAAATAGAATGTATTCTTTCAATCTAGAATTTCCACGATTCAGGGAAAGATGAGATTTGCTCTTACACTATGACAAGAATGCCTCCCAACTGATGGTGAATTCTTCCCTTCTCCTGCTTGCTGTTTCTGGGACTGCCCTGGATCCTAGATACAACCAAAATGCTTCAGATTCTGGAAAATGCGTGGAAGAGGTGTCTACGCCACTGTGAACTCAGAGGTATTCTGGGCATGGGTAAGGCTCTGAGGTAATCTCAGTTTTCAAGACACTGAGTTTTTTTTTCCTTTTTAGCTTCTTTTCTCTCTCATTTTGGTTCCAAACTTTAGTTAAAACCACAAACCTTCTGAATGGATGTAACATAGGGACATTTTCATGCAGTATTACTCAAAAATTGTCACAAATATATGAAAGCACCAGTCACAACACATGATTTACTTTTACTTGCAGAATCAAAGCTATCATGTACAAATGTTAAGAAGTGTGATAAGAGAACACAGACAACTGGCATTTTTTTGTTATTACCATGAGGGTCAACCACGGGGAACATCTCCCTAAATATTTGGGTGCTCATCCTTGGAGTTCAGTCTTATAGATAAATCCAGTCTTATCTCTGTACTACTCTAATGGGAAGGGGTGGAAGGAGAGGGATGAGAGAAGAACAAAAGAAAAAGGCACAAAGACTAAACATCAATGCCATTAAACCAAACTGCGGCTACACTGGACAATTCAGCTTATCAAAGGGTATTCTAAAGGCAATATTCATTCCAAGAAGGTCATACATATCTGAGCTCAGTACAGCTGTCTGTTTTATTTGTATTTTTTAAATATGAAGCAGAAACATAAGGTTTGGGGAGGGATAGCAGAAAAGAAATGAGGCGGATTTTATCTTTACATATTCCCCTCCTCCAGGCGGTTCTGCAGCGATCAGATCTCTTAACTCGGGATGTGGTTTGGCTTTCATTGTCATCAAGGGGACCAGTTCTTTAAACATGCATAGCCTGGAGTTTCCAGGATGGTTCTCCTCCCTCTCTTTAAATGCTGTGGACTAGAAAGGCGCCCACTTTGCTAAAAACTCGACATCAGTGTCCCAGGAGCCCTGAGGCTCTTCAGGCTCCTCGTGAAGACTTAAAGTATGGCGCAGAAGAACTTCTTCTCCCTAAATGGGTTTTCTGAGGCCGGGACGGGGGTCAGCAGGGGGTCTTCCTTGGCATGTGCCTCGCAGTAGGCCATCAAGTCTGCGGCCGCCTTGGATACCTGGAGAGGAGGACAAGAACAACGGGACCTTTAGAGGAACATTTGCAGAAGCATCCACGCAGGTGCATGCAGCCAGGGCCCAGACTTCCCAGTCTACCTACCCCCCCCCCCCCCGACTTCGGCTCAACTCCCAGGGGCACACATCACTAGCTCACGGGAATATGAGGCTGCGCCCTCAACCTCCTTAGGGCCCCCATTTGCTCATCTGCAAAGAAGGGGGTTGGTGATCTTGATCTCATGGGGTTGTCTCCAGCAGGTCCGGGACTCGGGCGAGGTTAGTGAGGCACAAACAGAATGGAGTGCTGCTCATTATTCGGGTCCCGTGAGGATCAACCTGGCATTGGTATAGCCCTGGCAAGGGGGGGGTCTACTTAAATTTTGTGCCTCCTTACTCCTTACTCACCTCATTCTAGTTACTCCCAGCCCTGGCTGCAAGGGTTAAATGAGATCATCCAGGCAAATGGCTTAGTGCCTGGCACATAGTAGGCTTGCCACATGGCCTAGCCATGATTACCATTCCATAGTTGTACCTCCTTGCTTCTGGAATTGTTAGGATGCATGAAGCCATGTTGGTTAACTTTTTATTTTTATTTATTAAAAGATTTTATCTATCTATCTATCTATCTATCTATCTATCTATCTATCATCTATCTATGAGAGAGAGAGAGAGAGAGAGCGAGCATGCGAGAGCGCGCACACAAGCAGGAAAAGAGGGAGAGGGAGAAGCAGACTCCTGCTGAGTAGGGAGCTCCATGTGGGGCTTAATCCCAGGACTCTGGGATCACCATCTGAGCTGAAGGCAGACACTTAACACCCTGGAACCACCAGGTGCCCCTGATTTCCTTTTTAAACAAACACGTCAGAATATATATGTGTTATATATAAAACAAAAAATGCATATATAAAATACATAACTTCATGTATTTTCATATATTACAATATATACATATATATCATTATATATAATTTATTATACATCTGATAAATATATTACTTCAATCCAATACTGTATCCCTTAGGGAATCCCATTGTGAGGATTTCACTAATGCAGTTTCTCACATTTCTGTAGCTTCTTCTTGAGAATTGTCTGGAATACCTTCTTTCAACCAGCCTTAACAATGGCAAATTTTCACTACTTGAGGGTGGACTTAATTTGGGAAAATAAACTAAAGGTCAATTATGACCACATCTGGGAACTAGGTGGGTGATCTACCTGAGGAATGTCATTTGGGCTTAAAAACCCTAAATGGAGTTTAGGAGTCTGTTTCTTACCTGACATAATATACTTGCACTGGAGATCATTCCAAAAGATTTTTTAACATCACTGTACTACTATGATAGTCTTTCAAAGTGACCACTGAAAGGATAATCCTCTGTGAGAGCAGGATGGATTATATTATTGCTAAAAAAAATTCACTGCCCCACCCTACAGGTGGATTATACATACCCACACAATGACATCAGAGTTGCTCTGGCCAATGAGGTATGAGAGAAATGATATGGGTCACTTTGGGGCAGAAGTATCAAGAACCGATACATAGTTTGCCATGCTCTTCTCTCTGCCAATTTTTCCAGCTGAAATTATTTGCTGAGAATCACCTTAATTGATTCAGAGGTTTTAACAAAAGGCATAGTGGCCATATCCTTGATTTGTGCCTTGCCTTATGGCTGAGTTGATTACAGCTTTGTCACTTAAAGGCCTTTCAATTTTATAGTTTCCTGCTTTCATCTTCTAATCCCATAAGTCTTTGAATTTTTGGACTCTCTGTTCCTTTCATCACAGGCCAGACAGAGGCAATATTCTGAATAGAGGCTGCTGCATCTGCCAGGGTCCATGATCAAAGTGACATGGTGTGGTGTGGCAGCTGATCTGTAAAGGACACGTGGTGGGAATAAGAAGTATATCTTTGTTGTTGTAAGCCCCTAAGAATGGGACTAGAGGACCTTTTGTTACTACGACAAAACCTCATCTACCCTGATTGATACAAAGAGATACAGGTATTATTAGATGTGTATTGGTTTCTTCAGTCTGCCTTAACAAATTGCCACAAACTGGTGACTTAAAACAACAGAAATTTATTTCCTGTCAGTGCTAGAGACTGGAAGTTCAGAATCAGGGTTCCCACTGGAGGCCTAAGGAGAATCTGCTCCATGCTCCATAGCTAGCGCCTGGTGGTTTCCAGCAATCCTTGGTGTCCCTTGGCTTATAAATGCATCACTCCAATCTCTGCCCGTATCCTCACATAGCCTTCTGTCCCGTATGTCTCTGTCTTCACATGGCATTCTCTTCTTTGTCTATCTTCAAATTTCCTACCTATCCAATCATTGGATTAGGGCCCACCCTAATCCAGTATGAGCTCATCTCAACTTGATGACATCTACAAATATTCTACTTCCAAATAAGATCACATTCTCAGGTTCCAGGTAGGTTTAGGGGCACTATTCAAGACAGTACAATATAGTTATGTAAAAGTCAGTCTTACCTTTTTTTTTTTTTTTTGCATTTAAAATGACCTCTTATTTGCCTTTTTTCCAGCTTTGAGATATAATTGATATATAATAGTGTGACTTTAAGGTGTACATTGTAATGATTTGATACACTACTATATTGTGAAATGATAACTACAGTAGGTTAATTAACAGCTCTCATAATTACCTTTTTTTGTATGTATGTTGTGAGAACATTTAAGATCTGCTCTTTTAGCAACTTTCAAATGTATAATACAGCATTGTTAACTGTGGTCATCATGTTGTCCATTCTATCCCCAGAATTTACTCATCTTATAACTGGAAGTTTATAGCCTTTGATGAACATCTCCCCACTTTCCTCACCATCCAGCCCCTGGCAACTACTATTCTACTCTGTTTCTGTGAGTCAAATTTTTTAGATTTCACATGTGAGTGTCTTTCTCTGTCTGATTTATCTCACTTAGCATAGTGCTGTCAAGGTCCATCATATATCACAAATGGCCACGTTTCCTTTTTCATGGTGGAATAATATTCCATTAGTATGTATATAATACAGCTTCTTAATCCATTCACCCAAAGATGAACACCTAGGCTGTTTCCATATCTTGACTATTGTGAATAAAGCTGCAATGAATATGAGGGCACAGATATCTCTTTGAAATCCTGATTTCATTTCCCTTGAATATATATCCGGAACTGGAACTGCTGGATCATATGGTAATTCCACTTTTGATTTTTTGAGGACCATCCATAGTGTTTTCCATACTGACTGCACCATTATACATTCCCACCAACAGCAGATAAGGGTTCCCTTTTCTCTGCATCTTCACCAACACTTGTTATCACTTGTCTTTTTTGGTAATAACCGTTCTAACAGGTGTGAAGTGATACCTCATTGTGTTTTTGATTTGCATTCCCCTAATTAGTGATATTGAACAGCTTTTCACATACATGTTGGCCATTTACGAGACTTCTTGGAAAAATGTCTACTCAGTTCCTCTGCCCATTTTTAATCAGATTTTTTTCCTTGTGTGAATTCTTTATATATTTTAAATATTAATCCATTACCATATATATGGTTTGCAAGTATTTTCTCCTTTTCCATAGGTTGCCTTTTCATTTTGTGGTCTTTTGTTGTGTAGAACCTTTTTAGTCTCATGTAGACCTTCTTAATTATTTTTGCTTTTGTTGCATGTACTTTTGGTGTCATATTCAAGAAATCATTGCGAAGACCAATGTCAAGGAGCTTATCCCCTATAAGGATAGGAGTGAAGTTTCAGGTCTCACATTTAAGCCTTTGATCCATTCTGAGTTAATTTTTGTGGTGGTGTAAGATATGGATCCAGTTTCATCCTTTTGCATATGATTATCCAATTTTTTCAATACCATTTATTGAAGAGATGATCTTTTCCTATTAAGTATTCTTGTCAAATATTAATTGATGGTATTCCTTGGCTTTTTCCTAGGGTTTATTCCTTGGCTCTTTATTTTATTCCATTGGTTTTTGTGTCTATTTTTTATGCCATACTATTTTGATTACTATAACTTTGTAATAGAGTTTGAAATCAGGAGTGTGATGCTTCCACTTTTGTGCTTCTCAGGACTGCTTTGGCTATTCAGGTTCTTTTGTGGTTCCATACGAATTTTATTATTATTTTTCTATTTCTGTGAAAGGTGCCATTGGAACTTTAATATGGATTGCCCTGAATCTATAGACGGTTTTGGGTAGTATGGACATCTTAACAATACTAATTCTTCTAATCTATGAACACAGACTATTTTTTCCTTTTATTTGTGTCTTCAATTTCTTTCATTAAAGTCCTAGTTTTCAGTGTACAGCCCTTTCACATTCTTGGGTAAATTTATTACTAAGTATTTTATTGTTTTGGTGCTATAATGAATGAGAGTTTATTTCTTTTTCTGCTATTTAATTCTTTTTATTTAAAAACATAATGGATGTCTGATGCTGATTTTGTATCCTGCTACTTTACTGCTTAGCTTACTTTGTTGATTAGTTCTAAGTTATTTTGTGTGTGGGATCTTTAGAATTTTCTATATATAAGATCATGTCATCTTCCAACAGGGACAATTTTACTTCTTCCTTTCTAATTTGGACGCCTCTTATTTCTATTTCTTACCTGACTTCTCTGGCTAGGACTTTCAGTACTATGTTGGATAGGAGTGGTGAAAGTAGGAGCCTTTGTCTTGTTCCTGATCTTAAAAGAAAAGTTTTCAATTTTTCATCATTGAAGATAATGTTAGCTGTGGGTTTGCCATATATGGCCTTATTATGTTGAGGCACATTACTTCTATGCCCAATTTATTGAGTTATCATGAAAGAATGTTGTATTTTGTTAAATGCTTGTTCAGCCTCTATTGAGATGATCATATGATTTTTATCTTTCATTCTATTAATGTGATATGTCACATTTTGTTGATTTTTTGCACCATCTTTGCCTCCCAGGGATAAATCCCACTTAACTGTAGTGTATGATACTTTAAATGAACTGTTGAATTTGGCTTGCTAATAT